CCTCCTACAGGGATTATAGAAATTCACCAGGGTAACTTTCCCCTCACTAACCCACACCTCTACCACAATAAACTCAAGCTCTGTCCCCTTCCTCACCACCCTATACTGCATTCCATTTTTAATAAAAACAGCACACCCTCCACCATTACCACCTTGTCTATCCCTACGCACACATTCATACCCCCTAATCACAAAATCCAATGATGGCCTGAGCCATGTTTCCTGAACACATATAATATCAGGTCTCCTCTCCTTGTTCTGCACATAACCTTTTAACTCCTGTCCATTAGCCATTAAACTCCTTGCATTCCATTGAATGATTTTCATACTACTCTCTCACTTCCCCCTCCCACAACCATTCTCTTCTCCTCCTCCAACCTTTTGTTCACCTGTTCCCAGGAAACACCTCTCATACCGAGGTACTTTTCCGCTCCTTTCACAATAATCTTAATTTTATCTGTTTTATGCTTTGCCTGATCTGCACAATTTATGACATATGCTAGAAACACCATCAAATTATCCACCGACACCATACTACCCTCACTCACACTCTGCTTCTTCCCTCTAGCATCACTCTGGTCACCACTCACTCCTGGGTCTTGATTTTGAACTTTCCTCACTGCATCTGCGTAAGAGACACCGTTCATAACCTTCACTCTCTGAATCTCCACCGCTTTTTTCCTTACTTCACATCCTCCGTAGGTTACAGCATGCTGCCCTCCACAGTTACTACATTTAAGAGTACTGTTTTCATTACACTCCTCTACTCTGTGCTCCCCACTGCATCTAGGGCACTTCTGCCTCCCCCTACAGACCGCTGCCACATGCCCATACAGTTGGCATTTATAACACCGGAGAGGAGGCGGAACAAACTCTCTCACGGGAAAACTCAAACACCCCACCTTCACTTTTTCAGGGAGTACTGCACCTGTAAACTCCAGTAAAACCGATAAGCTTTGCACACTCTGACCATCCACTCGCCTCATCAACCGTCTAATTCCACTGACACCTCCACCTAAACACTGCCTAAACCTCTCCAGGTCCTCGTCTAAGGGGACACCTGTTATGACCCCACGCACAGCCTTTTTTTCTCCAACTACTCTCCTTTCAGTCACTGCTATCTTGCACACATCCAACTGCAACACTTTCTTTTTCTGCTCTTCCGAAGTACACACAATCAACAAACTCCCATCTCTCAGCACCTTTGCCACTTCTACCTCTCCTATTTTCTTTCTCAACTCCCTTGACAACACAACCAGGCTCACATTTTTTATGTCATTCTCCTGCCGAAACTTAAGAATTACTTTAGGATTCTGCTGCTCCCTAACTATCCTTTTGCGGCCCGAGATCCCCTCATCTGAACTATTCCCATCCAACCCCCGTTTCCTAACCTGGCTACTGCTCAATCCCCCTCCACTCCTACTCCTGTCAAACGCACCCGAACCCCCTAATTCCTGACTAAACTGCATCAAGTCCTCGTCATCGTCCGCCAAGGACGCCATCCCGGCCCAGTCACAGATCGGATTATGCCAACCACCAAGTGATATTTATCCAAACAAGTGTTTTATTAGCTGTATATAACCCGCACGATACGCTCTACTCCCAGCGTCTGCTCCTTCCCGCGCTCTTTGTTCTCCACTACTGCGCATGTCCAAATTTACGTGCGGGGAGCAGCGCGGAGGTGGGGGTCAGAGCAGAGGGGGATTTCACACCTTTCTTCCTCTCGCGGGTGTGAAAGAGAGCCCCCGCTGTGCAGCGTTTCTGAGGCTGAGTTTACACGGAGACAATGTGGCAGTAAAACGCTATAGTTGGATGTCGGTTGCTACCAACCGTTCATACGAAGACTGTGTTCCAGGGGGGTGAAAACGCAAGTGTTCAGATCCAGCCTGCAGAGTGGGACAACTCAGATACGCTGCACAGCAGGGAGCTTTTTCACACCCGCGAGAGGGGAAAAGGTGTGAAATCCCCCTCTGCTCTGACCCCCGCCTCCGCGCTGCTCCCCGCACGTAAATTTGGACATGCGCAGTAGCGGAGAACAAACATAAACAACAATGGCGCTGCCCACACAAACTAACTACGTGGGCTTCGAGCACAGCACAGAGGATAATTCTACTCCTTCGTTCGTCCAAACGAGACCACGCGAAGCTCTAGGTTCAGTTTCCATTTTCACAGCTGCTGTTAAAATGCAGAATGATGTTGGTACTCTCTGAGGGTCTGGCACAGGAAGTGAGTACACTGCCGAGAGGGGGGCTGGGCACGGGGCTCGGGGTCGTGTGTCGTGTTGTAAAGTTTATCTGCCCACTACTGGCCGGGTGCTAGAACTACATCGTTTTTCAACCTCATGTGAACGCTGAGAAATTTCCATTAGGAGCCAGGTCGTTTCTGTTAATAGCCTGGAAACGTCTGTGCAGCGTCTCAGTATAAACAGGGCCTGAGTTGTCCCACTCTGCAGGCTGGATCTGAACACTTACGTTTTCACCTGGAACACAATCTTCGTATGAATGGTTGGTAGAAACCGACATTCAACTATAGCGTTTTACTGCCACATTGTCTCCGTGTAAACTCAGCCTAACATTAGCCAGCGGCAAAAACAAAAGCAGCTGCAGCTGGAAGTCCGATACAGCAGGTACTCGACTGGACCAAGACATTTGCGGGCAGTGCAAAAGCCATATCAATAACCGAAGAGGAAATGGAAATGATTGACGACCAGCCATTTTCCACAGCGGAGGACTGAGGGTTTTACATAAAGTATATTTACCAGAAAGTCCTTTGTGCCAGTGGCGCAAAAACACCTCCTAAAACATATTATTTAATAGTGTTCAGAGGTCCAGACAATGAAACAGACAATGGGACAACGGGTGAATAGCAGTGAACAAACTACAGTCAAAATCCTAATAATTCTAAACAGATAAAGAAGGAAGGAGGAGAGGATAGTGTTCTATCTTCTTTCTGTGTCTTCATTGTTGATTCTCTGATCTGTGTTGGTGACTCCAATGGTTTTGTTAAAGCCTCTGAGATGATACTGTTGTGATTTAGGGCGATACAAGAAAAAATTGTATTGTGATTGTACTGTATTGTCGTGTTGATGCTGATATTTAACCACAGTTGAACCTGACAAAATCTCACACAACAAAAGGCACAGTTAAGCATTTTTAATCTTGGTTGCTTTTTCCAAGGAGAAATAGTTTTTAAAACAGAGATAGAGCAGAATCTCTTGCTCTCTCTGGTTCCAACATCAGATCTAACTCAGACAAGGCTCAAACCTCTTTTTGCCTTCTTGGTCTGCGCTTTGGATCCTTGCAAATCGGGCCGTGATTAAAGCCAAACTGTTATTAAAGATGTTTCTGAATCTTGGAATTTCAAAGGCCACTTCTAAAATCTTTGCTAAAATTGTGAAAAATCTGTCTTCTGTACATTCTATGAGTCCAAACATTTCACTGATTGATACAGAAGAATTAAAAAGTATTATTTGACGATTTACTCTATGGATTATAATAACATGTTGTCTATGGTTACAATGAGGATGAACTGGGAGTAAAGCGGCAAAAGTGATTTTTAAAGTGATAGAAATATTGCAAAAATATCATTGTAATATCAATCATTATAATCATAAAGCCAAACCTAAGGGAGCCCAAAGGTGACAAGTATAACAGTGCTGCCATGTTAAAGTAGCTGTCATCAATAAAGGGCCCTAATCAGTCATTAAAGGGCCCTAATCAGTCATTAAAGGGCCCTAATATGTCATAATTAAAGGGCCCTAATCTGTCTTCATTAAAGGGCCCTAATCTGTCCAAAGGCATTAATAAAACCTGCTCTTTTCCAATACTTCTTTAACTGATAACAATAGTTCAGAGATATTTGGATTTCTAAATTACTTTTCCAGCCTCTAAATCTTGTTATTTTCATTTCGCTGTCCCGCCCTCCACCGTTTCACCAATCAGAAAGTCTGTGATCCGGGCGCCAGAACTCACCGCGTGGAGCTAATCTCACTGGTAAAGTACCATGTGGCGCAGAACTAAAAAAGGTCTCGTTATGATTCTCAAATCATTAACGACAAAACAAGGAATAAAACCAGGATTTCTATCTGTGTGAAAAAGGTGTTGGTTATAGATTTGTTGTTGACAAAACTCTTGTCTATTCAGCTGTTATGGTCCCAGCTGGATTCGTCTGCATATCTGGCAACCTGAGTCAGGGAGAGTGGGAGAGGCTGCAGTACCACTTTTGGACACATTTTTACACAATGCTGCATTTAATCCTTTTTTTTCTCCACAATAATTTATAACAAGGTTCAAATGGACTTAACAGAATGAAGTTTGAAAATTAGAATATCTTTCCAGTCACCTAAAAGTTAAATTCTTGTTTGCGATTCCCTGGAGAGTGAAAAGCAGAAAAATCTGAATAAAAAACCACATCCGTTTGTATTGGATCAGATTTAATATTGAAACAGTTCGATCAGTTTGACGCACTTCAGGATCCATCATAATCCGTAAGCGTTAAGAGAGACATACGATTAACAATGAACAATGTTTTTAAAGTCTATCACAGACCCGTTAAGACACTTTGAGACCAGGAAATTAGGACCGTACTGCAAAAAATGATCGAATATGAGGAAAACATTGCTGTAAATGAGGTTTTTTTCTTAATCTGGCACATTCTGAACGTCTTAAAACCAAATTTGTTTTAAGGCGGTCAGAATGTGCTCACTTTAAGATAAATTTTGCCAAATTCAAGCCATTTTTGACTTCATTCTCACCACTTTTTGCAGTGTGGTCAAAAATATTCCCTTTTCAGATGATTTCTTTCGCCGTTAACCCCAGAAGAGAAGCCCACCGGGGCCGTCGGAGAGACAATGGTGGGAATAATCATGAAATTCCAAAGCCAAGCCGTGCCTTTCTGAGTCTTTATGCAGATTGTAGTGACACACACAGATCCCTTTGTGTTTTGGTGCTGCAGACGACCGGCCTCACAGAGAGGGGCGCCAGGTTCAGTTCATGTTAAGTCTATGAGTCATTGACGGACATGTTCTCCATGGCGGTGGGCAGCCCTCCTCCTCCTCCTCCTCCTCCTCCTCCCTGCTTCTTCTTCTTTTTGCCGCCTCCTCCTCCTCCTCCCTCCTGCTGTTTTTTAGCCTTCTTGCTCATTTCTTGGTCGATCGGCGCTGGTTTGACAAACTTGATCATTTCATTCAGACCTAAAAAGACAAAAACAGAACCTTTAGTGAATCCATTTGACGCAAGTAATAACGTTTTTTGACGCAGCTGCCTCCACACAACCATCAGACTCACTTAAAATACTACTACTGCTGCTACTCCTACTACTGCTACTGCTACTACTGCTACTACTACTGCTACTACAAATAAACACAGTTGGGCTTTTAAATAATTGATCATTGAATTCTCTGCCAAAAATCAAAGCTAAAGAAAGGATTTTTAAAGACACAAATGAATGTTGCCCTGACGACGGCCTCCTCTTTTGTTTACATCTGCATTATATAAAGTGTATTATATAAAGTGTATTAAATAAATGTTGCTTCTCACCAGGAGGCATGAAGTCCCTGAGCGGCTCCGGAACAACGATTCCTTCTTCAGTTTGATAGTTCTCCAGGATCGCACAAATCACACGTGTTGTGGCGCACATGGTGGCATTCAACATGTGCACGAACTCCGTCTGGAAAACACAATAAAAAAATAAAAAAAAGATTTAAAAAACCAAAAATGAAACATCAAAATAGGAAATATACACATTTTCTAAACTTTTCATAACAAAAAGTGTGTTGAGATAAGACTGACTAAATATCTACAGTATGAGCGAAGCTTTGGAATGGAAGTTGATTTGTCACCTCATTTACATAATGTGATGTCATCAAGGTGGCAGCCATATTGAAAATGTAAACTATCGTATAAAGATTTTAAAAAGCTGCAGTTTGAGAGTGTTTTGAGATCAGGGAATACTGTCAACAGTCAATGTAAAATATCTTTATAATGAAACGAATTTGGGAAATAAATAAATTCACAAATCCAATTTATATACAACATTTCAGCACTGGTCAGCGGCCATGTTGGAGAGTGTTGTTTTCAAAGAGCTTCAATGACCAAGATGGTTCTCCTTATATATTTTACAGTCATGAAATCTGGAGTTTGGTTTCTATATTTCGATTTCAAAAGAACTGCCGGTTTGATTATTTTGTTTCAGTGGAAATGAGGCTCCAGAATTCATCGTTTAGAACCAGAAGAAATTAGTCAGAAGTTTGAAGCAGAAAAAGTTTGGGAATCCGTGATTTACTGTGTGTATATATAAATGAGTTTTCCGATGTAAAATATTCACTCCTAACATATATTATATATATATATATATATATATATATGGCGGCAGTCATCAATATTATTAACTTAAAATCATGAACAGAAAGAAACAGCCTACACATGTGTTTTGGGAAAAATGAAAAAAAAAAAAACTTTAAAAACAATTCTAAATATTATCTGAAATTAAAAGCAGAAACATTTCAATTTAGGATTATTTTGGTAGTTATAAAAATGTATTGCCTTATTTATTTATTTTTCTTTACTGGGAAAAAAACCCAATTAATCTAGTTTTTATTAATTCTTGTCTTGTGCACAGTGGGGACTTTTGCAAATGTATTCCAAAGTGGTTTTACTGCAAATGACAAATAAATGAATCGGAGCATATGAGCATTGGGTGGCAGCTCTCGTCGTCACCCCCCAGACCCAGAAATGGATGAATCTGAATCTGTAATGATGGTGATGTAGTGGTGGCATCACGGCTTCTCATCCCCATCCCTCACCTTATCCATCATCTTCTTCGTCTGCCCGAAGCGGATGCGAAGGCGCCTGGCCTGGTAATCTGTGCAGTTGGAGCAGGAGACCAACTCTCTGAACGCTCCGGATCCAGGGAACCAGGCTTCAAGGTCCAACTTTTTACTGGCTGCGTGGTTAAGAGCGCCTGGAGACAGAAAGAAGCACAGAGTTAGACTTGCACTGATATTGCCACTGTTTCTTTAATTGCCACTTTTATTGTACATAATGTATTCTGAACAGAGTATATTTTTGGCCTTTTTGCCGTTTTCACACTTCTGTCTTTTGCACAATCTGAGTGATTCTATCTCTGCCAAACTGACACGTACATTTCTCCATCAGAGATCAATAAAGTCTATCTTATCATGTATATTAACAGATGTGTAGTGTCCCATTATCTCCGTGAATATGTACTAATTTACAGGACCAAATACAGATTTGTATATTCCTGAGTAGGGGTGGGAACCTAAGGGTAGCTCACGATACGATACAAAGCTCACGATAACGATATCACGATAACGATTTTATCACGATATGACGATTATCGATATATTGATCAGAAATATACAATATGCCAATTTATGGCATAAATAAAAGAAAAAAAACACTTTATTTCATGATAAATGGAATGGAAATGCGTAATGTAGCCATATATTAAGTATTGATACCAATTTTCTTTTTTTTTAAATAAAAAAAAAAAAAATTGATACTTGGCAAATGCATATCAATAATCGAATCGCGGGAGAAAGTATCGCGACATATCGATATATTGATATATCGTTACACCCCAATTCCCGAGAGCCTACATCAAGATTATTCTATCCTCACAAATATTATCTTATTATTATTCTTATTTTCAGATGGTTACTTTAATGTTATTTTTCATGTTCTATTGTGATGCAAGCTTTTGTGGATCAATAAAGTCAGTCTGAGTCTAAGTCTAAGGTTAGTGATTGAAGAGTAGTCCACTTACCGGACACAATGTTGACAATGCGGTATGGGATTCCAAGAGACTGATAAAACTCTTCTGCCGTCCCGATCATCTCGTCAAACATCTCCCAGGACTTTCCGTCGTGAGGAGAGGCATAAACAAACTGCTCAATCTGTAACAACACAGACACATCAGGATTTAAGGATGATTCAAAATGAGCCAAAATGTACCTTTGTCCTTCATATATGACGACTTTGTGGATAATTATTGGATATTTACACATGAACTGACAGCACTATAACAGACAGGACCATTATCAAATTTGGGTTTTAACTTTATAAAAAAATTGTGAGTGTGGAGTTCATTCAAACAGATCTAAGTTCATCCAAGAAAATTTGAGTCATTTAAAGATACAGTCTATGATTTATCCAGACCCATGTTTAAAATACTTTGGGTAAACGTCCCTAAACCCCAAAACTAGTCAAGTGATCATGAGTTTTAAAAAAGGAACGGACACGACCAGCTGAAGCCTCAAAACATAAATCATTAATATTTTGGAGCTGATAGAACGAAACCAATGGGATGCTTTCACCCCCTCCACCTGCTTTTCGTCACCTGTCTGAGCTGTTATTGAGTTGGATTTTCTAAAACACCTACAAAGGCTGTAGAAAACCCCCAAAGTGACAATTTCATGTTTGCCACTCGCCTGTTTTGGCAAAGAGAAAATCAGAGGAAAAGGTGTTGTATAAGAAGACTCAGGACGCAGCCAGGGCTCTGTGATGCTACAACAGTCCAGTTTGGCTAATTGCTAGTTTGTTAGAGGAAGCTAGCGTGTGTCAAGTATAGCAGGCTAACCACTCACAGACTTGAGCCTAATGTAGTTTAATACTTTCACATTTCAAGCTGAGGCTTCGTCACAGACTGTGTTATTACAGAAACACGTTCATGTGCTGGGGTTGGGTTTGGTGGAGGACAGGGAAGAGAGTTGGTGCTACTCGGATGCTAATGCTAAGCTAAGAAACACCCTTTCTTGCACCTTTAAGAGCGATACATCTTTATATGAATATCTCACATTTCCAAGAGTTTGATGGTTATATTTTCTCGGGCTGTGAGGGCTTCTGACCCGGTGTGATTCGTACCTTCTCAAACTGGTGCACCCTGAAGATGCCTCGCGTGTCCCGGCCGTGAGAGCCCACCTCCTGTCGGAAGCAGGTGGAGAAGCCGGCGTACCGTATGGGCAGGTCCTCGGGTTTCAGCCACTCGTCCCGGAGGAAGGCTGCGATTGGCTGCTCGGAGGTGGCAATCAGATACTTCTCATCAATGGAGGCGTCGTCTGCGTTCTCACTGCCCTTTCCGATCACCTGAAGCACAAAAGAACAGGGAATATTGGAAATGCTAAGAAAAAGATAGAAGCTGGAGTGGTTTTTTTTCAGGATTTTTCTGCTCTTTTTAACTTAAAGGAGCAGTATGTAAAAATGTGGCCATAAGTGGTACTGCAGCCTCTCCCACTCTCCCTGACTCAGGTTGCCAGATATGCAGACGAATCCAGCTGGGACCATAACAGCTGAATAGACAAGTGTAACGCTAGCTAGTGGCTACGCAAGATCTGACTTTGGCTATTAACGGAATAGCAGTGTAGTGAGCAGAAGAAGGTGGATCGGCAAGGAGCCTGAGGTGCACATAAAGACAACTGATATCTACGTGATAAAGAATTGTATTATAATAGTCCAACAGATGAAATATTATTGCACACAAAAAAAAACCCATATACCAGATTGCAGGTGTATGGAAAAAAACAGGTTCCACCACAAAGTCTTTAGGTAAAAGTCCAACAAAAAAATGCTTGCTACTTGCAAGGCTATTTAAGTTCCGCTCGAGGAGGATGAAAAGAAAAGTAATCCACAACAAGCGTGTAGGAAGCAATAGACAGTTTGTCCTACCGCGTCGTTGTCTAGCTCGCCATTTGTTGAGTCGTGGTGTAGAAAGGCTCAGTTCATTGGGTTAGTCCATCCCATTACAAAAACCTGACCTGAGGCCAAAAACATAAATAAGTAACATTGCATTAAGGCTATACAAGGAGAAGATTGGTATAACATTTTCTGTTATACAGGTTATTCTATTTGTAATACTAATACACATAGTATTAATAGTATAAATAATAATCATGATTTCTCAGAAAAATTAAATGTATGAACACTGGTTCATCAGAGCTACCGAAAATAACTCATTAAACAAGGTTGTAGAAGTGCACTAAAATATCTTTCACTAATCATCAATAATTGACATTAAAAATATGAATGATCAGTAATCCTGTTTTACGTCATAATACTCAAGCAGAGTTGATAAATAAAAGTGTTGCGCAACAAACAATAAACACACAGACGCGTCTCATTGGAGCGCACAGTAACTCCATTAATAATATGCTGACTGCCCTTAAGAGCCTGCAAAAGTAAGACAGCATATTGGGACCACAGATCCAGTTAAACATGTCCTAAACTAAAGAGTTGCCTAACAATACGGCTTATTGATAAAAAGGAAAAGAGCGGGTTTACCTGAGTAACTTGGGGCAAACACGACACACCATGCATGGCCCGCTACTTAAAAGAACATGGCGGCTCTATGGGAGAATGGCATCACATTAGCGACTATGCTAAAACGTCTCAAAAACAGTACTTAGCGATCTCTTATAAACAAATGCATTTAGGATTAGGCTTCTTCGGCCATGGCAAAAGACTCACCTAATTATGAAGTGTCAATAATGCGCGATTGGAGAGTTTCAGCAAGTCTACTCTCACATGCCGTCTGTCAATGCTGCAGCCACAACGGAGACGGGAGGGGGGAGGAGATGCGCGCAGCTGATAGTTAAAGAGACGGGCGCTTTTGGGGGAAGTTGGCTTACAAAATAAAAGTCTTTAAGACACTAAAGCCGTTTCAGTTAAGCATGTTAATCATGGTAATGAAATGCGGGTCACACAAGAGTTTTGTCAACAACAAATCTATAACCAACACCTTTTTCACAAAGATAGAAATCCTGGTTTATTGATCTCAAACTGGAGAAATGTACATCACTTGGATTGTGCAAAAAGACATAAGTGTGCAACATGCTTAAGGTTAAAAATATAGTCTGCGCAGAAAGAGTGGCAATAGCATGGATACTGTCAGACCGTAATTAAGCAGTGCTAGCTATTTTTAAGCAGTACTAGCTATTTTTACTTGTTTTGTCTAATTAAAATGAACCTTCTAAGCTTTAAACAAAAGACAAAAGACAGTTAACATTTCGGTCACTGTGGTTTCAAAGCTAAGTACCAGGCAGTTCCTGTAGAGACCACTGGGGGCAGCAGCGGTGTATGATTTCTCTTCCCGTCAGAAAGGAGGAAATTGCTCAACATTTTAATATCATAAAATATCATTACTATTATTTCCTTTATAAAGTAATTGCATCTTTGTAGAAATATTACAAGTTTGATGTTTGAGATATTTGAACTGAACTTTGGATTTTTTTTTTTTTGAGTAATCCTACGATGGAAATTAAGAACCTCTCATTTTTTATTGGTACAACTGTCAAATAGTTAACTGCCCTGACTTATTTTATGAACAGATCCAGCCTTTTTTGTCAGGCTTTTTTTTTTGCCAACACAAACTCGTTTTGTGAATCACTATATATATTGTACCATGAAGGATCCAGAGATTCCCAGGTCAAATAGAAGACATTCTAATCTATCAGGTGGAACACATGGTATTGCAGCATGTCAGCGCACGTCATTTTGGCCACTTTTGAGCCGGGACACTGGCCAAAACAGAAGCTTATGTTGTCTGGTTTACATTACACTTGGCTTCAGAATTGACAGCAGCGTGTGTTTGCATGAAAGCCTTCTTCAGAGCATTTTTCTCTGATGAATAAGAAAGTCAAGCCAAAACATGTTGCCAGTTACTATTTTTGTGTGTGTTTCTAGTCAAACAAGGAAATAATCTCAATCCCCACAGAGGAAAAGAAAAGCACACTTTTGGCTGCTACTGGACACCTGAATTTCTCCTACAGGGATCAATAAAGTATCTATCTATTAGGGCTGGGCGGTATAAACGGTATAAGCGGTATGCGGTATAAATTTGGCCCACGGTAGAGATTTTTGTTATACCGGCATATTGCGATAGGTCATTATGTCATCAAATTGCGCAGGCTCTGACGCCAGCAGAAAGGACCAAAACAAACCGGCATTCAGCAGCATTAGCCTAGCACATTAGCCTAGCAGACACCACTGGAAACAACAGCACGGCTTTCACACCGTGTTTCTGTCTCTGTATTGGTCACAGCGGCCCCAGCAGAGGTAAATACACACACAGCAATCACAGTTTACATGTCTACCTTTCGGCCAATGAGTGTCAAAGGGGCGTAGGCTCGAAGCGCCATCGTGAGCCGAAATAGATCCATGCTTGTGCCGTGTCCGCATAATCTCAGAAGTTTTGTAAAGTTAGCGTCCGATTCAGACTTCCGCGGTCAATAGATCACGAAAGCTACTTTGTTAAACAAAATTAATTGTGCCAAAATGAGCATTTACATCAATTGTTCAAATCAAATGCGCTGTTTTAATGCAGATAAATCCATTGAATCATCCAGTTCACAGCAAGCGCTTAGGGAGCGTCAACAAATGGCAAGACTAGCTTTGTAAACGAACAATAGCTTTTACTGAAGCCATGCATACGCACTAAACTCTGACACTATAAATAATGACCATGTCTAAATGCTACAGATATTATATAATATATTTTAATATTATTTAAAATTGCTTTCACAGTTAATGGTCTTTACTGTAACATACATAAATAATGTATGTTACAGCATTTGTCTCTGACCTGATTTTCAAACTCAAAAAATATATATCAGATTCTAATGTATAGATAAGTAACAATCTTGACTATTTTATGCAAGAACCTGCTAAACCTATATTGAAATTCACACACCAAATTATACCGTGATGTATACCGTCTACCGTCTGTGACCCAAATCATACCGCGATATGAATTTTAGGCCATATCGCCCACCCCTACTATCTATGTATCTGTATCTATCAGAGTTGTGGACTCGAGTCACATGACTTGGGCTCGAGTCATAAATTTGATGACTTTAGACTCGACTTGGACTTTAACATCAGTGTAACAGACCTGTGGCTTTTCTCAAGAAAGTGGGGGCCAGTGGTCCGCTGTGATTGGTCACAATCTGGTCCCAAAACAAATTCTCTTCCTTGTTCCACGAAAACTTGATCTAAATTGTAAATGACAGTCCAGCACAAACCTTCACTAATTATTTTTCAAAAGGACCTATATCCCAATGCAAATGAATACAAAAATAAAGTGAGGTAATGCAGCTTTAAGTATTATTTATCTGTTGTTAAAAGGACTCGACCCGGGACTCGACCCTCGACCCGGGACTCGACACTCGACCCGGGACTCGACACTCGACCCGGGACTCGACACTCGACCCGGGACTCGACACTCGACCCGGGACTCGACACTCGACCCGGGACTCGACCCGGGACTCGACACTCGACACTCGACCCGGGACTCGACACTCGACACTCGACCCGGGACTCGACCCTCGACCCGGGACTCAACGGCAAAGACTTGAGACTAACTTGTGACTTGCAAAACAAAGACTTAGTCCCACCTTTGCCATCTGTCCTTCTCTGTGCCACGCTGGGTTTGGGGAAGTGCAATAGTCGTTTACGGTTAGTCGTGTTTATATTGACGGGGTTAGTTATAGCAGTAGATCTGTTTCCTTATTGGTGGTGGACTAAACATTTATTTCACGTACTTGAGCCATGAAAGAAAAAAACTTATGTTCAAGATAGAGATTTTATTCTTGTCTTTTGATGCTAGAGTCAGAGATGTTTTATTTTAATTAGTATAGCTATTGCTCACTGATCTTGTGCTATGTGCTCCTCATTCCTACTGTTCTTCAACTTGTGATGCAACACTGAAATTTCCTCACTTTGGGACTCTTATTAATCCTAATCTTAATCTTGAATAAAAGTGCATACCTTATAGAGCTCCTCATCAAACTGGCTGAGCTGTGCCACCTCCTGCATCACCTCCTTCCGCATGAAGAAAGGCGTGTACAGCATTGTGTAGTTCTTATGATACAGGATCCTCAGGGCGTAGTTGATCAGCGCTTGCTCCAGAAAAACCAGTGGGCCCTGATCACAAATCACAAAGCCAACACGACAATTATATTAGAACGACAACAGCTCACCACAAAGAGTGCCTAATTATACAATACAATTTAGTCCATGGTATTGGACCATAGGGAGAGACCGCCTGGTATAGTGGTCCATAGGGAGAGACCGCATGGTATATTGGTCCATAGGGAGAGACCGCATGGTATATTGGTCCATAGGGAGAGACCACATATATTGCTCCATATGGAGAGACCGCATGGTATATTGCTCCATATGGAGAGACCACATGGTATATTGCTCCATATGGAGAGACCACATGGTATATTGCTCCATATGGAGAGACCGCATGGTATATGGGTCCATAGGGAGAGACCGCATGGCATTGGACCATAGGGAGAGACTAGGGATGTAAAAAACTATGAATTTTCATGACCGACCACCGAGCCTCATTAACCGGTTGAAACCGGTTAACCGCGTAGTTTAAAATAGTCCACGTTCTTTGAAATAACAGCCATTTCGAGCCGCGTACTTTTCATAAGTGCAGCTGAGCGTTCTACGGGATCAGAGCCGAGACAGCGGCGCCAAAACCCGCAACAGCTTCGGCACCTTTGCGCACAGAGAACTACTTTTTTAATCTTCCCATTCTTCTGTGCTGCGGCTTAAAGCATTTTTAAGCAAAAGACAGCTCGTCCACATGGTCAGGGCAGCGAGTGACGAGCCGCGTCTCGCAGGTCTCCGCTAAAGTTTAAAAGTGATCAGTGTGGAGCTGATGCCAAGGACCAGCAGCACAAACATGGTCCATGTGGTTTGACTGGAGCCGTGTATTTGCAAGAATGCTTTGGGCTCCGTGACACAGAGGAGCGCGACAGACCGGTATGTGTGTGTGTACAATACATGTATGTATGTGTGTATATGTCTGTGTGTGTGTATATGTAAGCTATGTGTGTGTGTGCAATACATGTATGTATGTGTGTGTAAATATAAGCTCCAATGTAGTTCTGACCCGCACCAGTGTGCAACTAGCAGACGGTAACACAGGGGAGAGATGATGCGTGTGGATGTTACGTGTCAATGGAGGGGGGGGGAAATGTGTGTGTGTGTGCGTGTACATGTATGCGTGCATATGTGGCGCGTACGCCGTGAGAGTCGGCCCAGAGCTGGCCCGGACTGGCCATCGGGAGATCTCCCGGTGGCCTGCGTGTCAAAGTGGCCTGGGCCTGCCCTATCATCACGGTCTTTTTTTTTTTTTTCTTTTAATTTAATTTCATCCTCACGGTCTTTGCAAACTCCTACCCTGCCTGGTGGCAGGGTAGGAAAAAAGCCAGTGTTGTGCGTGAACGAGTTCAAAAGAACGCGTTCATTGAACACGCTCATTTTTTCGTGAACGTTGAACTGAACGCAACACATTTTTTAATAAAGAACTTGAACGTGAATTAGTAGTTCATATTATGTGTCATGAACGGCAGACAATTTGTTTTCCATTTAAAACTGAGTGAAATCTGTTTTCTCTTTTGAAACGCAACGAGAGAAAGTTCCTCCCTCCTGTATTCTCCGCACTGTTTCCGCCGAAAACTAAAAATTCCTACGGTTTCCACCGTCTGTGAACGCACCCCGACTCAGTGTACTTGCGGTGGTGCGGCGCTATATGCTAGTGCTATTCATTGGTTGTTGGACTCACATGTGCCGTGATGAAAACACAGGGGTAAGTCAGTGACACAGGGCCGTTTACATTTGACATAAAGTATAGACACACGTTCTGCAGCGCATTACAGTTTGTACTTATGAGCAGAGATGGGACAACTCAGTTCCCATTGAAACCCATGTAAATCTTGTCTACATTGGAGTCAAAACATCCTGTGCAGTGTACAGGATATATATATATATATATACACCACGTATTGTGATTTCTAGCTCGTAGTGAAAAAAAATATTTATTTGAATATCTCGCAAAAAGTAAAATGAACTGAACTTTGAACTAGTTCAGAATTAAAATTGAGAACTTAACGTGAACTGTTCACTTTGAGCATGTATGAACTGAACTTGAACTAGTTCAGAAAAGCTGTGAACTGGCACAACACTGGCCAAAGCTTTACTGTCATTGGGCCAGAGCAAAATTAAACAAATGTGACGTCACACGTCGGCTACACAGCCAGGCCAGCCTAGCAGTGCACCCAGTGTAGCTTCCCCAGCCTAGCAGTGCACCCAGTGTAGCTTCTCCGGTTGAAATCAGTGGTCTCTCCAACTGATGGTTCATACACGTTTTTATTTTTCCTTTTATATGAGCTGTAACGATGTGATTTTACCTTACTACTTTTTTAACAATAATTGATTAGCTTGTTATAGTTATACACTAATGAACACTTAGTTCATTGTGTGTGTGTGTGTGTGTCTTTATTCTCACTAAGCTCCATAAACGTTACGTTGCTAAGCAACGTACAACAATCCTTAAACGTCCGAGATTATATAAACAGTCAATATTAAAAAAAATAAAGAAAACAAAAGTTTTGACAGTCAATCTTAAAACTATTAAAAGAACATCAAAATACAATGACAAAAACCCAAATTTAGAACCTTGTTTGGCCTGAATGGATGAAAAGCTCCCGGCCTGAAATGTTGTCCCACTCCGGCCCTGGCCCAGAGTTTACTGTTACATTGGCGCACACAGCTAGATAGGGACCCGCTCGTCACATCGTGCAAATAGGGCTTAAAATAGCGTTATGAAGAGACCTCCCCTCTCCCCCTTTTCTCTTTTTTAACCGACAGCTTTGACCGGTTAACGCTGTGACGGTCAACCACCGGTTAAACGGTCACCGATTTACATCCCTAGGAGAGACCACAAGGTTATTGGTCCATATGGAGAGACCGCATGGTATATTGGTCCATAGGGAGAGACCGCATGGTATATTGGTCCATAGGGAGAGACCGCATGGTTATTGATCCATAGGGAGAGACCGCATGGTATATTGGTCCATATGGAGAGACCAATGTCCATGAATGTAGATATGTCCACACATTTTTCTAAAAAACCCAGTACATTAGCAGGTGTGAGGAGTGATTTACCTTGAGGAAATAGCCTCTGCTTCCAGCCACCACAGCTCCCTTCTCTCCCTCAAAGCCGTCCACCATCACCACCAGATCCACGTGGGAATACTTCTTTTGGACAGTACAGTCGCCCCATGTACGCTCCACTTTGTTGTCTACGTCCTGATGAAGAAATGTTACGTTTAAAGCAAGAAAGGAGATTGCTGCAGAGGGTACGAGTGGTAGAAGGATTTTAAAAAACGGTGCTCTTCAAAGACAGGGCAGTCTGAGCAGATACAGGATGTTTTTGACTCAATCAAAGTGTTAAAGGTTACAATTACAATTTTAACATCATTACAATTGGCAGTGGAGAAAAAAAAAAAAAGAGATTAGTTATGTTATGCACTTAATTTAACAAATAGATACTTGATTGAAAGTGCATTGTCCAGTAGCAGCAGATATATAAAATAAAACTGATCATTCTAAAAAGCTAACAATAGTAATAATAAAATACAGCAGTCCTTCAGGTCACAGCAGCAGCGGTGGAGCAAAGTAAAATAAAAAGTTATCATTCCTCCAGTGGATTTTCGCCTGATCCACTTGGTTTGGACCATGAACCCTCTCTGCTCTGGTCTGGACCAGTGTAAAACCATGAACATTGTAGTGCAACAACATCTCAGGCAGAAAAAGGCAAGAAAAATAACTGTTTCAGAGCAACTTAGGGCTTGCGGCCATTTTCCAGTGTATTTAAAAGAATCCAATTAACATGATTGGTGATATACAGGAGAGTTTTAGGGTTCAGACTTGGTCCAGATTGAGGCGTGCTTCGTTTGTGCAAATGTGAAAGCACCAAACATGTTCACCCGGGTCCAAAGATCAGCTCATTTAAATTTAAAACATAATTTGCTTCCATACCAAAAACATATGAGACAGCAAAACAGCTATACAGTAACATGAATGGGATTAAAAGGACTTTAACATTGTACCGTCTGCTACTGTTTTTAAATATGTAACTATAAAAACATGCATAACTCAAACTATTACGTATTGAGGATTAAAATCTTTGGAATTCAATCAGTCACTCATGATATAACTACAAAATTCCTTTCCAGTGCCTCCAATTAACTAAGTTTCCCAAGGTTATTCTATTTTTTTTTTATAACGTCAGGTGGAACAAACAAGCCTGGTCTTATCCATCCGTAAACTATTGTCAAATATAATTTCTTACATGTTCCTCTGGGTCTGATCCTAGTGGCTGCGGTTTCCTCAGCTGAATCCACAAATCAACAAGCGGGTGAGAAGGCTGTTGTAGGTCGGTGTCTGTGAAGTCAAGAGCTTGTGCCGAATTTGCTGGTTGTAGTTTGTCAGAGAATGTGATAGTAAAATAATCTGTTCTGGTTCGTCTCCAAATATCAAGAAATTGAAGCCGGAGCAAGAGGAATGTTTAGTAAATGTCATTGAAGCAAAGATGTTGTGGCTCTACTCCCCACGGGCTCCGATAGTGGCAAAGGAGATGGATAAAGCTAAGCTAAAGGCTAAAGCTAGGCTAAATGCTACACTCACTCAGGTCGTTTCAATCTGCAAAATGAGAAAATCCAGACCTTGGTACAAGATGAAATGAGTATGATGGTACGTTAAGACCAAGCTAAGAGCAAACAGATCCCTTCATGTCAGGGGAGTCTCACCTCATCATTGCTGATTGGTACCGACGGATGCAGAAGATTCCCAATCTCCCTCAGGTATTCAAAGCGATCGGCCTCGAGTTGGACCCGGTCTTTGTCCGTTTTCTCGACCGCTTCATCGACGAGCAATCGCACCTTCTTAATTTGAGTAACTGTTAGCCCCTGTGAACAAGACACATGGAATACAATTTAAAAATAAAAATAAATTCAAGATGTAGTTTCTGATTGAACAGTGGGTGAAGCAGTGGGTGAAGCAGTAATACCGATAACACTTCAGCTGTGAGAGAGTCCACTTGCTGAGCCTTGTCGGGTAAACAGTCGTCTTCTCCAATTGGCTCTTTTTTCTGTACAGAACCGATTAAAATAATGAAATACTGTAAAGTTATACAGCCAAATATATGCGACACTCTTACCTTCATTTTCTCTCCAATGCTCTTGCTGCAGAGGTTTTTTGCTTTGTTCAGGTTGTCGGCGGTAAAGCGACCTATAGGCAAGGCAAGTTTATTTGTATAGCACAATTCATACACAAGGCAACTCAAAGTGCTGAACAAGATAGCATTAAAATCATAAATAATCACAGAACATTAAAACGAAAGATAAAAATATAAAATCCCTCAGTTGTAGCACAGCTAAACAGAACTGTCTTTAACCTGGTTTTAAACATTGTCAGAGAGGAGGCCTGTCTCACATCTTCAGGAAGATTGTTCCAGATTTTAGCAGCATGAATCTGAAAAGCAGCCTCCCCATGTTTAGTTCTGACTCTGGGCACTAACAGGAGTCCAGTCCCTGTGCTCCTCAGAGTCCCAGCAGGAGTCCGGTCCCTGTGCTCATCAGAGTCCCAGCAGGAGTCCAGTCCCTGTGCTCATCAGAGTCCCAGCAGGAGTCCAGTCCCTGTGCTCATCAGAGTCCCAGCAGGAGTCCAGTCCCTGTGCTCATCAGAGTCCCAGCAGGAGTCCAGTCCCTGTGCTCCTCAGAGTCCCAGCAGGAGTCCAGTCCCTGTGCTCCTCAGAGTCCGGGCTGGTTCATATGGGACTAACATGTCACTAATATATTTTGGTGCGAGGCCATGGAGAGACTTGTAACAAGCAAAGCCGTTTTAAAGTCTATTCTCTGAGCAACAGGAAGCCATTAAACATTAAATTGTAAATTAGTTATACAGCGATTAATTCATTTCATATTTGAATACAGAAAAAGTTTATACGACAAATCATGAAAACTGGTTGGTCTGGTCATTCATTTGAATAATGTATTAGTTGTTTTCAATCCCAGTAAGTCTGTGAATATGGGATATTTTTGTAGATTTGATTTGACCAAATCAGATGATGCCCCTGGAGAACGTCTTCATAAAAGTCATAAAACCTCTTCCCAGCATAAAGTGATTCATTGATGGTTAAATTAGTAAAGCCAGGTTAATAATCAATTAGTTGCCAAACACGTGACTCAAATATTAATAATAGGGACAGTGGTTCAGTTGGTAGAGCATTGGCCTTTGAGCCTGAAGGTTGTAGGTTCGAGACCACCTTCTCCACCTACTCCCACTAATGCCTGCTGACCTTGGGCAAGACACTTAACCCCACTTAGCCCGAAGCCCCCACTGAAAGACTAAAGGCTATGCTCCTGTGGGGCAGCCTCCTGTGGACTCAGCACCTCCAGGAGGATCAGTGAGGGGCTGGTGCTCTGTCAACTGGGTGCAGCTCTCACTGACGCCACAACCCCCACCCAGACATGGATTAAGCGGAAGATAAATTGATGGATGGACATTTTTAATTATATTGCAACCTTACATTTCCAGGGAACCTCAAAGTGCTACAGATTAAAATACAGTACAACAAACAAAAAACATCAGCAGTACAAAAAAATACAGTATCAAAATGAAACACAGAGTTAAAAGCTCTGTTAAAAGCTCTTGAAAATGTAAAATATCAGGCTGTTTGCTGATGATATTATAGCTCCATGTGGACTACAGTAGGATACGGACGGTTCAGGAGGCGGAGACTGCAGGGCTGAGTCGACATGCTGCTTCACCCAGGATTGCATCAGATTTCTCATCACAAAACTTGCCGTCTATAAAAGCTAATCACAAACTGCATAGAAAACAAAAATAAACTATACAAAGATTCGGAAGACTTCTGCAGCACAACCAGATCAAGACAAATAGTCAGGGCTGGAAAAATGTCATGGTATAACAATGTATAAGTGGATGACGTCAAACTGTACAAAACATAGAGAATTAAATTAAATTAAATAAATGACAGTGAAATTAGATCATTATGTGTCAACTGTAGACCTAAATAGTGGAAAACTATCAAAAGACTAAGGTTAAATAATTGAACAAGAATTGGCTGTAATAGTGTTTTAAATTAAAGACAGTTGTTTATCTAAAATAATAAATTAATAATGTATGAAACAACAATACGGTCATTGTTTTATTGTTTTTTGCAAGACTGAAGCAGATTGATGGAATGATCAGTCACTGCACTCACGGCTAGCATCATAGCATCATAGCATCTTTACCGTGTTAGCTTCATGCTAGCTTAGCTGTAGGAAAGCGGCTCGTGGAAAAAAAAAGACTTACATTTTCTCCATTCTGTGTCTACTGCCACAAGTTTGTCCACCAACGTCACGTCTTTGAATCTCTTCTTCTGAGTTTCCCGAACAATCTCGGGGTCTCCTCCTTTATCGGCCCTAAACAAGTCTAGATCCAGCACCATGTTGCAGCACGCTTCCTGCAGAGAGTCTCAATGAAAGAGGCTGTCAGTCTACGGTCATACGTCATCACTACGTCATCACTACGTAATCACACAGAGGGACACGTTTATTTTAGATACACCGAGGTAGGCAAGGCAAGGCAAGTTTATTTGTATAGCACAATTCATACACAAGGCAACCCAAAGTGCTGAACAAAACAAGATAGTATAAATAATCACAGAACATTAAAAAGAAAGATAAAAATATAAAATACCTCAGTTGTCCGTCACAATGCATGACACTAGAGTCTAGACCATAGGTGTCAAAGTCAAGGCCCAGGGGCCAGATGCGGCCCGCACGACCATTTTTAGTGGCCCCTAACAATTGTATTATTATGGCAATGGGCGACAAAGGAAGGTCATATATCATTTATTTTCTCGGAACAACCAAATTTAATATATTCTAACATTTTAATCCAATAACACATTATTAGAAGTTAAATAGCTCAATATAAAATGTGTTTAACTTTATATTTGATCCAGTTTTGGTTAAATCAAAACAATAAACACATTTTGTTTTCAGAAAAATCAACAAGAAAATAACAGTGAAACTCACAAAGTCACATTAGAATACCTTCATAATGTAAAAAACTATTACTAGGAAATCTCTTTTGTTGTTTCGGCCCCAACCGGTTTCTTTTTTTTTTTATTCGGCCCCTGACCAAAATGAGTTTGACACCCTTACACTAGACCATGTAACGTTTGGCATGGTACTGACATATGAGAAAAAAATGGAACTTTGTATTCATGTGATTTTGTGTCTTGCAAAATTCTGTAAACACAAAAGCAAATGTCAGAAATGTCCCACGTTTTCTTTTTTTTAAAAATGATTTTAAAATGTACCTTAATTCCTTGGAGCGAATGAAAGGACCTAATGCCACAAAATTGTTTTCCTATTTAAGTAAAATCCCCGTAGACTCTACCTAACTACGAACTTTATGAACTACCTCTGATCTGCATCCATGACCCCCTTTGCACTTTTTAGTTTTATTTTTTAAATTTTATTTGTATTTTTTGTTCTTTTGCACTCACTATTTGCACTGGACTGCCAATGTTCCCTCATATGTTATTATTGCTAACGGCACTTTGCCATGTTTGTGTTGTACTTTCTTAAAATAAATGCAATAAAAATTAAATAAAAATAAAAACAATGCATGACACAACAAAACTTTATTTAATCTACAAACTTTATTTATATAAAACTTTTCATACGTTCATGATTTCGCACACTTCACAGAAAGTGACCACACCCCATTATAAACTAGAAACGATATAATGGGCAAAAAACACAGAACAACAATCTTCGATGGAGATATCAATTTAGTGCTGTATTTTGTAATACTATAGGTTTAGGGAATATTCCAAAACGTTGTCTTTTAGTTGTTATAATTTAATGGAGTTTAAAGAATCAAATATCTTACACCGCTTTTACATGTAAAAAAACATACCGTCCTCATAAACACCACAAAGTAGCAACAGACATGTTTAATACAATCATAAATACTAAATCCATTTCAAAGTTCTGGAGACTGAGAGCAAGTGTAACAAGTAAAAAGTGTGATTTATGTTCAAAATTAATCTTTTAAAGTATTATTTTGAAATTAATATTTAACGGTTAATTTATCAATTTAACTTAACCAACACTTAAATGCAATAAAAGTAGTATACCATATGCAAAAACCTGCCAGAGTAATATACAGATTATAAAGTATAACTTCAGGGTCACCTTTATTCATTGTTTTCATTTAACATAATTAACATGCAATAATGAATATTAAATACATCCATATCTATCATATATCCTCCTTCTTGCAAACCTGAGTGAGTATAGTTCAAAGTGTAGTAGGTTTCAGGATTGCTCGTGTGTATAATTACAGATGTGCAAAAGTAACAAATGTCATAAGGTTTTATTCCAGTTTATATTTGGTCTGACAGCGACTGGAAATGCTTAGAAATGTTCCGACATCTAGTTCTGTACAGCTGCTTGTCTTCTTGCCTTCATTATCTCAGCGTCACGGATGGCCATCTGCAGAGCAGCCCCAGCTGGAAGCTTAGTGAAGCCTTCTTCTGAAATGTGGCTGATCTTCAGGTAGCCTCCAGGCCTATGCAGAGACACTCCGTGCAGGTGAGAGAAGAGCAGAGGAAAGTCACTGGTCAGATTATAATGAGACACAAGGCTCAGCTCTGTGGGGAAATCGGATTCTTCTGAGTAATCAAAAATGGCAGCCATGTACTTGGACAGGTCCTGGCCCCTGGCTTTAGCACGGCAGACTTCAGCCCCAATCAGACCGATAACTGCCTCTGCACTGGAGTTGCTCGACTCCCAGCTGGACTCGTCTTCCTCCGGGTTTTCAATGAGTTCTCTAGTTGTGAGACTGTGGCTTAGACCCGGGGAACAAACCACCAACACAAAGTCACACTCTCGGATCTGTCGACTATGCCAAGCCAGACTGCCCTCCCGTGCCACACTTAGAGAATCCCACAGGTCAAGATAAACCTGTCAAAAAGTATATTTTACAACACAGTAAAGGTAAATGTATCAATCACATTGTCGTACCTGTGTGGCCATGTGCTGCTGGATGAACGCTCCTAACGTCATGACTGCTTTAACGTGAGCTGGGCCGTCAGAACCGCTGTAGCAGATCAGCAGCTTGGGAGTGGATGCTTGGGTCTTGGGCCATGGTAGAACCTCTGCTTGGGTCTGACTCTCAAGATGCTGCTTCAGGATTTTAGAATCTGAAAAAACACATCTGGATTTTACTGGCTGATTTTCCATGACTTGGCATTTCTTGTAATAGCATTTATTTTCACCTGGTGTAATGTGCAGCTTAAACATTTTCATCTTGGCTTTTGTCAAAGTAAAAACCACTAAGAATATGATTATAGCAGCAAGAACCAAGACCAGTGGAAGCAGAAGAGCCAAAGGTACATTGGAACGAGGAGCTTCCGATTCTATGGAGACATCTCGTTAGAATCCAAAATGTAAGATTAGTCTAAACTTCAGTGTTTAAATAGACTGTACCTTTGTTCTCAACTCGAATGATAAATGTTTTTCTCACAGCGTCAATGACATCTGCAGCGATCTACAGTTTAAAACACGTTAACACACAACACTAATACAAAACGACTGACCATGTTGCGTGTCGTTTACCTCACACGTGTAGTTCTGTCCCTTTTGGAGCCCGTGCAGCTCATACGTGTGATGTGTTTTGTTAGAGCTCAGATTCTGTGAGTGACATTTCATTTAAGCTCAAAACTCATCAGGCAAATGAGCACACAAGGAAAAGGAGCTTACCGGTGTAATGTCCACTTTGGTTTGTGTTTGTACAACATTTAAATAACAAACTGAGAAGTAGCTCTTGATGTCCAGGTTTTGAGGAGCCAGGTTAAAGGTAACGGCAGCGCTTGTCTCATTCTGGACCACGGTGACATGCTGCGGATACCAATCTACAACCACAATACAAGGTTACTCAGCAGCATGGGTGTCAAAGTCAAGGCCCGGGGGCTAGATCCGTCCCGCGAGACAATTTTTAGTGGCCCCTAAAATTATGTTTTATAATTATTATCTAGTAGCATTGATGGTAATGGCCGACCAAGGCAGGTTATACATAATCTATTCTAACATTTTAACCCAATAACACATTATTAGAAGTTAAATAGTTCAATTTAAAATGTTTTTACTTTACATTTGATCCAGTTTTGGTTCAATCTAAACAATAAACACATTTTGTTTTTAGAAAAATTAATCATATGTTCAAATATCTTCATAATTTGAAAAACTATGATGAGAAAAGGAAATCTCTTCTGCTGTTTCGGCCCTGACCAGTTCCTATTTTTTTAATCTGCCCCTGACCAAAATGACTTTAACACCCCTGCCCTACAGACATATCAAGACAGTACTTGCGAAAAGTTTTTAGTAAGTATTCTAAAGTTTGGAAGTATAATTAGAAATAAATAAATCATGCATCTGGTTTAAAGTAGCAGTATGTATGATTTTTATGTCAAGTCATCATTAAAGGGCCCTAATCTGTCATCATTAAAGGGCCCTAATCTGTCATCATTAAAGGGCCCTAATCTGTCATCATTAAAGGGCCCTAATCTATCATTAAAGGGCCCTAATCTGTCATCACTAAAGGGCCATAATCTGTCATAATTAAAGGGCCCTAATCTGTCATCATTGAAGGGCCCTAATCTGTCATCATTAAAGGGCCCTAATCTGTCATCATTAAAGGGCCCTAATCTATCATTAAAGGGCCCTAATCTGTCATCACTAAAGGGCCATAATCTGTCATAATTAAAGGGCCCTAATCTGTCATCATTGAAGGGCCCTAATCTGTCATCATTAAAGGGCCCTAATCTGTCATCATTAAAGGGCCCTAATCTGTCATCATTAAAGGGCCCTAATCTATCATTAAAGGGCCCTAATCTGTCATCACTAAAGGGCCATAATCTGTCATAATTAAAGAGCCCTAATCGGTCATCATTAAAGGGCCCTAATCTGTCATCATGTGTGTCCCATTGACGCATTAATACGTCAAATGCCTTTTTCGCTATTTTCACGTTCCCAGATGTCTATTGTATCTAATATGTATGGGGATGACTTGAGACCATATTTTATCGAGCCAGCAGGTGGCAGCATTGCTCTCTGAATGGTTTGAAAACATGTAGGTGCACATGTTGTGCCTCTTTTTTCTCAACTTTCTCGTGATTTCTGGTGATTTCAGTAAAACTTCCCTCTACTGGACGGAGGATTACAGGGGAACGAAAAAAGCTATAAACAAAATTCTTTTTGCTGAGGAAAGTAGACAGTCCATTCTTTTAGAATCTGGTGTCGGATTTCAGATAGTCATAGTACACAATATTCTGTGGGTCTTGAAAAATCAGTAAAAATCATCATAAATGGCTGGCACTGTGGGAGTACCTGTTCTGAAATAGGCTGGCATTCAATGAGTTAAAGGGCCCTAATCTGTCATAATTAAAGCGCCCTAATCGGTCATCATTAAAGGGCCCTAATCTGTCATCATTAAAGGGCCCTAATCTGTCATCATTAAAGGGCCCTAATCCGTCATCATTAAAGGGCCCTAATCCGTCATCATTAAAGGGCCCTAATCTGTCATCATTAAAGGGCCCTAATCTGTCCAAATACATTAATAAAACATGCTCTTTAACTGATAACAGTATTTCAGAGATAATTGGACTTCAAAATGAGTTTTACAGTCCCTAAATCTTGTTTTTGTTTTCATTTCGAATCAGAAAGTACCATGTGGCGCAGAACTAAAAAAGTTCTCGTTATGATTCTCAAATCAATAACGACAAAACAAGGAATAAAACCAGGATTTCTATCTTTGTGAAGAAGGTGTTGGTTATAGGTTTGTTGTTGACAAAACTCCCTGAGGGTTCATGCTGAGTGAGAGATGGGAATGGCAATTGGGGTTTGGTTTTGTTTATTGCCCGCCAAGCCGTGATGCTCTGTAGACAGTTGGTGAGGGCAGTTAGACAAGTTCAAGCTGGTTCCTTTGGTTTTGTTAATATAATAAATAATTTGGAGGTGCCATCAGTGTGGAAATGAAACTCTGAACTAAAGTGACAGGAAATAATGTAGAAGAGGAGAATGTAGATTAACCCAACACTGAACCTTGGGGTGCTTAAAGGTGCAGTTAGTGATGTTGTTAGCTTAGCCGTAGCACCAACTGGAAACCACTCCCTCCTCCCCTCCCTTTTCCACCGAACCAAACATCCAGCATTTTCTTTTCTTTGTCACAACAGGGAGAGTGGAGCAAACGTGAAATTGGCATTTTCTGGTCAGCCATTTTAGGTTTTAGAAAATCCGATAACTGCGGTGCACTCGCGAGAAACAGGAAGAGGGTGAAGGGGTAAACACATCCCATTGGTTCGCTGGGGATGATCGAATCCCATTGGTTTATTTTTATCGGTCCGCTCCAAATATTTTGTATTAATTTTTGTAGACTATAAACATCTAGTCAATTCCATTAAGAAAGAATTGACTAGAAAAAGCACTGCAGGAGGAAAGAAGGAGGGAAGAATTGTCATTTTGACCCGAGAGGAGGACAAGAAGATTAGACTAAATAATTCTTAAATATAGTGTTGGAATTAAAAATGTATGTCACTTTTCTAAATATTTATATAACCTAAAATAAAGTTGTTATTGGTTTAACCTGTTTTCTTGACTGTTTTGAGTGCATTTACACAGTACGGGTCAAAATGACCCGCAACATAATCAATGTAATTTTTTTCCAACATAATACAAGGGTTAAAGTATTATTTTGAAATTAATATGTAACGGTTAATTTATCAATTTAACTTAACCAACACTTAAATGCAATAAAAGTAGTATACCATATGCAAAAACCTGCCAGAGTAATATACAGATTATAAAGTATAACTTCAGGGTCACCTTTATTCATTGTTTTCATTTAACATAATTAACATGCAATAATGAATATTAAATACATCAATTTCTATCATATATCCTCCTTCTTGCAAACCTGAGTGAGTATAGTTCAAAGTGTAGTAAGTTTCAGGATTCCTCGTGTGTATAATTACAGATGTGCAAAAGTAACTAATGTCATAAGGTTTTATTCCAGTCATAAATCCTGAAATCGCTTTGGTCTGACAGCGACTGGAAATGCTTAGAAATGTTCCGACATCTAGTTCTGTACAGCTGCTTGTCTTCTTGCCTTCATTATCATTATTATTTGAAAAAACATGATAACTTGATACTTATAGGGTTTTGGGACGTTTTCCCACAATATTAAAAAATCACTGACTGCCTCTTTAAGGACATGGTGGTGATGGGGCTGATTTGACATTTTTGAGCTGCATGAAGGTTTTTCCGTCAGTAAGATAGTTACACACCTGTTTTGTCAATACCCTAAAGCTATAATAAAAACATTTATAAGTGATGACTTCATTGGACGGAGCTGATAAGACATGTCTGGGTTTAATGTATAGGTTCCCTGCTCCACCGCCGCACCTCCAACTCTGAGAACTAAGTTTGTGGACGACTCATCTCTGAAAACAATGAGTCCGTCACCTGGAGGACGGTAGAGTGGGTGGTGTCCTGGTCCGTGTTGGCTGTAACGCACATGGTACACACGGTAACACTGACCAGGACACCAGCCCATGATTGTATTGCGCTACACAAACACAACTGATGTCTGCTGTTGTTGTGTCCCTGGGCAAGACACTTAACCCCACTTTGCCTGAAGATGAGATAAGATATACTTTATTGATATCACACAGGAGAAATTTACATCCCTGCTGAAAGATCAAGGCCATATCTGTGTTGAAGGAGCAGCCATCTTCCTGTGGACCCACCATCTGCAGGAGATCAGTGAGGGACTGGTGCATTGTGAATTGCACCAGTCCCCCCTGACCCAGAAATGGATAATAAAGGGTTAAATGAGTTTGGTAAAGTAAAGTAGTTTCTTTCTTAATCCACCGCAACTTTCTATCTACAGCTGTGATCACGCCTCTGCTGGTGCTTGCAGTTCTCAAGCCATTAAAACTCCAGACTTTTTCCAGACTTGATAAAAACTGATATTTTTTTGCAAGACCTTAACTGTATGTACTTGTGTGCCTACTGCCGACTTCATTGGTTGAGATTGTACCAACTGTGTTTATTCGAAATGTTAATTTTTATAGGCAAGTATTCAATGAACAAATGCATCATTCACAACGCCTTTGAGCATACTGTCAAATTCTACCATACATTTTTTCCCCATATTTTATTAAGACTTTCACACAAAATGCAAGACTTTTCAAGGTCTGGAAAACAGTGCTTAAAAATTCCACACTCATTAAGACTTTCAAGACTTGCCCAAGCACCCTGCAGATGGTATTTGACACATGGTATTTGACACATGGTATCCGACACATGGTAGGTGAAGTAAGGTGCGTAAATGAGGCTCAGGCCCCGACTCCACCGGGCGCGTAAAACGGACGACGGATCCGTCCAAACATGTCCGTTTCATCTCCGTCTCCGTTATCTCTATGAGGGTGAATGGAAGTGGCTTCACTGCAAGCCCCGGCGATCCAAGATGGCGCCCTATTCAAATGAATGGTTGTGCTCAGTGGCGCTTTGTGACGGCATGGGGGCTGAAAGATTAGCGGAAGTTGCCTGAAACTCGCAAAGATCTCTGGGAAACTCGCCTGTATTTGGGCATCGTCTGGTCCTCCCGGTTCTGTGCAGTGGATGATCTCCCATAATGCGTTGCACCAAACACGCGTGTGTGGGTCTCACACCGGGTCTCACGCACGTGCACAGAGGGTCTCGGCCGCGCTCTGACCAATCAGAGCAGTTCATCAGAGCGGGAGTTAGAGCGAGAGCCAGACGAGCAGAGTTTGTGGCACTAAACAAAACCGAAGGATTTAAGAAGAAAAAAAGTTCAGGATGACCAGGGACACTAAAATCCCCACAAAATCCGACCTTTATGAAAGCTGTAGGTTCTCTTTCAGCTGAGGTTGAGCTGTTTTAATATGCATTGAGTTCTATGGGGAAAATTTCTGGGTAGCCCACGTGAATTTAGTCTGGTTCAGTCTGCAGTACCGCGAGAATCCCCTGAGCACATGAGTTATTCAGCTACAAGCTAGTAATACCCTATCCAGTTAATATAATACATCCATGCTCCACTGCCTCCGCATGCGTCCGTCTGACGCACGTCGGACGTATCGGACGAGAAACAATCCTATTTGTTCCGTCCGTCGACGCGTGTCGGGTCCGTTTTCCATAGAAAATACAATGGAATAATATATTTACCACATTATTAAATAATCTGTAGCCCTTGGTTATAAGTATTTGTTAATGACAATGATTATTAACAAACCTGTGTAATTTTCTTCATGTATTACTTTAAATAATTGTTTCCTGATCGTAAATCTACCATTCATTTTTCGCGTAATATACGCTAATCTTTTTTCTCTCGCTCTGTCCCCTCTACCTCCGAGGCGCCGCGCGCTCCCACACACACACACACACACACACACACACACACACACACACACACACACACAGAGCTATACTGCACTTATGAAAGACAGATCTCACAACAACACTGGAGTTCTTTTCTCCTTTCTCTCTCCCCTTTTTCCAATTGCTTTCAATAAGTTTTGCCTCATCCGCGACGTCCTCAATGCTTCAATATGCTGTGCTTTGCATTGATCATAGCCACAGCTCATACACATCACACACCGCTTCTTCTATTTAAAACTATAGCGGCTGCCTGTTGCCTAAAGCCGCGGAGAGGGGAGTTGGGTCCGATAAAAGTGTATGACGCGCTAAATAAGTATAGAAAACAAACGAAGAGGCTGGATCATAATAAACGCTGCGGGCTTCACAAGCCCAACACCACGCACGCACACACATGCGCGCTGTTGGAGGGAGACTGACGGCAGGAGCCGCGGTCCCGTCTGGAGGACTAAACTGAGCTGGACTCCACCGGCGTCGTCTCCGTTGACCGCCGAGCACGTTGGCTGCTGTTCCGTCGACGTCACATAAAAAAGACAAGTGAGTCCAAACCGGCTGCAGCAGCAGCTAGCTCTGGCTGGTGCTTTTTATCAGCCTTCTTTGTTTTTGTAGGAGACCACGTTGGGCATTGTGGTGAATAAATGAATGTTTGGCTGATGGAGGAGTCAGGTGTTGTCGGCGTACAAGTGTGCGTGTGCGTGATGAGCGAGCCTGTGGTGTGTGTGGGTGGTAGCGCGTGTGTGTGCGTGCATGTTTTGGTTTGGGCCTGTGACCGTAAATCAGCGATTAATATGAACCAGCCTCTTACGTATGTTTTCTATACATATTTTATGCGCGTCATACACTTTATCGACCCAACTCGCCTCTCCGCGCTTTAGGCAACAGTCAGCCTCATAGTTATCAAAATCAGAAGAAAGCGGTGTGTGATTTAATGAGCCTGTGGCTATGATCAGTGCAAAGCACAGCATATTGAGCATTGAGGTCGTTCGCGATGGATGAAGCACAACTCTAATTGAAAGCAATTGGAAAAAGGGGAAGAGAGAAAAGAACTCTAACATATCCTGTGTGTGAGTGTGTGTGTGTGTGTGTGGAGTGTGTGATGTGTGTGTGCGGAGAGAGCGCCTCGCAGGTAAGAGGGGGACAGAGCAAGCCCCCGCGACCCAAGATGGCTCCCTATCAAATAATGGATGTGCACATGGGGCGCTTTTGTGACGGCATGGGCTGAAAGATTAGCGAATGTCGCCGAACTCATCAAAGATCAATGGAAAGTCGCCTGTATTTGGGCATCCGTCATGGACCTTCCCGGTTCTGTGCAGTGTATTATCTCCCATAATGCGTTGCGTTAAACAGCGCGGTGGTAGGCCTGTCACGATATTTTTTTTTGACTGGCCATAAATTTCATCTTAAATTATCTTCGATAAACGACAAATGTCTTTACACGGCGTTTTAATTGCCAAGAATAAAAAAATACAGTAAAACAATAGTATAAAAAAACATAAAAAGAACAATATTGGAGGTATTCCCAACAGGAACAATACATTAAAGTGCTTAAAAAATATAGAACAAAATAGCATTGAGTGTATCAAAACAAGAACATTTTAAGTGCATTTTTTTTTTCAAATTAACAAACCTGATTGAGGTAGCACAACAAGAAAATTTAAAGTGTCATAAAGAAATCAAATGTTTAACCCAGCCACCAGACATTGTGCCTTCCTAATAAATTATGAAATTCAAAACAATATTTTCACTTGACAAATAGTATAAACTAAATTGCCTTTTTCAGAATAATAGTTTTAGCAATTGCGAGCGAGAAAACAAACATTTTAACCATGTGTGTTTGAAGCACGACCTCTCAGGGTCTCAATGTTTCCCTGCTGAGAGGGTCCTTAAACCAACATGTTAACCTTGTGTGGTTTAATGGCGTCTCAGGGTCCACTCTGTTTACCCTAGCGGAGAGGTCCATAAACCAACATTTAACCTTGTTGGTTTTAAGGACCTCCTCAGGGTTCTCTTTGTTCCCTGCTGAGGAGGTCCATAAACAAACATGTATAACCCTTGTGTGGTTAAGGACCTCTCAGTGGTCTCAAAGTTCCCTGCTGAGAGGTCCTTAAACAACATTGTTAACCTTGAGTGGTTTAAGGACCTCTCCAGGGTCGCTATGTTCCCGCTGCTGAGAGTCCTAAACCAACATGTTAACCTTTTTGTGGTTTAAGGACCTCTCAGGGGACCTAATTTCCTGCTGAGAGGTCCTTAAACCAACATTGTTAACCTGTGTGTTTTAAGGGACCACTCAGGTCTCTATGTTCCCTGCTGAGAGATCCTTAAACCAACAGATAACCTTGTGTGGTTTAAAGGACCTCTCAGGGTCTCTTTGTTCCCTGCTGTGCTGACATCGTTCTGAACACGTGCATGTGGCACAAAAGCACCTGTATTTTTTTTGGAGATAAAGGGAAACCTTTTGGTTATCAACGGCGATCCAAACCAAGGGATCAGATGATGCACAGTGCTTCTTCCTGCAGATACTTTGTTAGTTCCTGTTTGCCTTTTCTCTCACTGGTACAGCCTCATGTGTTTGTGTCACACGTATGAAACACTCCCCCCTGCTTTGTATGAGATCACGCTCAATGTTTTATTTCTTTTATCACCTAAGCCTCTGTTCCGCCACTTCAGCCTGTTCCATCTCTGCAGCTGCACGCTTTTGTAGCCCGCTTCTTTGCATCTCCATCCTCCATCTAAGCAGCTCCTCAACAAGCTCTTCCTTGGTGTCCCTGCAATAACCCTCTAAATCCTCCAAACCTGCCTCTGTGGTCTGGATCCACAATGTTTTCTTTCCTAGAAACTTTGTATAATTAGAGAGAGCAGTATTTATCTACCAACACCGTGCTCGTGTTGGTCTTGATCTTTGTATGTGAGGTCTGTGTCTTCTGGACTTGTGCTAACAGTTCACCTTATGATGGCGCACCACACCTGTCTTTATTGAGGACACTGTGACATACTTCTCACCAGAAAGTATGTCAGTTGAAGTCAGCAACAGGGCTTTCAAGGCTGCTTTTATTACTCCAGCACTAACACATCTTGCCATGTGGGTTGCAGGTGGCCATGTTTCTATCACTCCACTAGGATTCTTCTGATAGTCTGGCAGCTGCACCAGTACTCTGT